ATCACCCAAAACATATCGGATTCAAGCCAAACTTTCTAAAATCTTCCGAATTTCGCTTTTGATAAAAAACTTAACCAAACCACGTCCGAATGACCTGAAACTTTGCACACACATCCCAAATGACACAACGGAACTACTGCAACTCTCGGAATTTCATTCCGACCCCTATTTCAAAATCTCGCCTACCAACCGAAAATTGCCAAAATATCAACTTAGCCAATTCAAGCCTAAATCTACTCCGGACCTCCAAAACCCATTCCGATCGCACTTTAAAGTCCCAAATCAGCTCCTGAAGCTAATCGAACCAGTGGAACTCACATCTGAGCCCTCTAACACAGAAGTCAACATCTGATTGACTTTTCCAACTTAAACTTCCTTAAGGAGACTAACAGCCTGTTTGGCCAAGCTTCTCAAGAGAAAAAAAGTATTTTTTTTTTCAAAAGCACTTTTTTCCCTAATTTGAGGTGTTTGGACAAGCTTATTTGGGAAAAAAGTGCCTTTGGGAAGAAGCAGAAGCAGTTTCAGAGAAGCAGAATTAAGTAGCTTCTTTCCAAAAGCAGAAGAAGAAGCAATTTTGACNAAAAAGTAGCTTCTTTCCAAAAGCAGAAGCAGAAGCAGTTTTGGCTTTTCTTCTTACCTAAAATACCCTTAACAAAATATAGTATATACCAAAATAACCCTTAAACCTAATACTTAGGATATTAATTTATAAATATTTCTTCTTATTTTTAGGAAAACTTTCTAATATATAGTGACTTTAGGGGTGAATGTTTTTATATTTGTTGAAGGATTTTTAATATATTTAAGTTATATTAAAAGAATTAAGTACTTTTTAATTTTATTTTCATATTTTACTTAAATAAAATGATTTTTTTTTAATTATTGCATGTAATAACAAAATTTTGATATTATTTATTTACTTATAATATTAATTATTAAGTAAATTTATTCATGTCCTTATTCGTAATTTGACACTTAAAGGCACTTTCTAAAAAGCTTGGTCAAACACAAATTATTTCTCAAAAGTGCTTTTCAGACTGATTAGCCAAACACAAACTGCTTCTCTCCAAAAGTACTTTTTTCAAAAGCACTTTTGAAAAAAACATTTCTCAAAATAAGTTGATTTCTCCAGCTTGGCCAAACAGGCTATAAGTGTCTCAAATCTTACCAAAATCATTCCGGATTCGATCCGACAAACCCGATACCACAAAACACGGATGAACAAAGAATAAAGAAGCAGAAATAGGGAAAACGGAGTGAAAATTCATGAGACGACTGGCCGGGTCGTCACATTAAGGGGTTCAATGCATAGTCTCTATATCTATATTTATTCAAAGGAGACAAAAGACAAGTAGTAGTTTTAGGGCAAAATCAGTTAGGTAAATTAATAATTAGTTATTTAATTATTTTTAAACTCAAATTCAAAATCAGTTGTTTGGTTATGAGTGCATATTTGCACCATTTTCTCTCCAGTTAAGGTTATAGTTATCCCAGCTTTTGAAATGTTTAAAATCCAATAACATACGTTTTTACCTCCTTATTTTCAGGAAAAAACAGGCTACATTAGTTGCACATTGTTCTTCCATAACTGTTTTTAAAGAAATGAAAAGTCATGCCTCCCCCATACATATTCTCTTAATTAATAATTAATAATAATAATAATAATAATAATAATAATTATTATTATTATTGTTATTACACCCTATTCTTTTTTTAAAATTATTTAAAATAAATTCTTGCCATTTTTTGGCTAAATTATATAGAGATTCTTTAAAGATTACTATTAATTCAAGCTTATCAAGTTTCCTAATAAAAAGTTCTAAATTTGTTTTGAAATATGCAAAATCTGAACTTAAGTTTAACCGTGCAGCCGTAATCTAAGGCACATTTAGGACTCATTTTTAGAGAAGTGATCAGTTTTTTATATTAACTTTTAAACTAAATTTTTTAATAAACTAACGTAGTTGAACTACTCCTTCTTTATAGAGAAAAAAATGCAGATTGTTTACATTAATTTTGTAAACTTAAAAACAATTTTTAATTATACTTTTGAATTCAAAGCGCTTACAATTTCTCAGATTTATCCTAAACTCATCCCTTACAATTTTTCTCTCTTCCTTTCAATCTATTTTCTTTTTTTCTCAGTAACCTTATGGTTTTTTTCTCCTTCTCTTTTGCTTTCTTTATTCTCAGAATCTCAGTAATGGTCGCAACCTCGAGGGAATGTCTTGATAAGATTCAAGATACATGTGAAGGTGAACGATAATATTGGTGATACCATTTTTTAATTTATTTATGAAGAAGCTAAAAGTTTAATCAACTGCGAAAAGTTTAGTGGATCACAATGAATCATTATCAAGTAACGTTCTTCTACAACTTACATTATTGTGTAGTCGTGTAATACTTATTCCCGAACTATATGATCATGATAGTGTAATTTTGTTTTATCTTTTTAAGAAATGTGGGACCGTAACGGCCAATGATTGTAAGGAGGCAGATGAAATTGTTGTAGTAAAAGTGTGTTTTCACAAACATATATATATTTTTTGATGTTATAATTTATATTCTTCCATTTCAACAATTTAATTTTAGGTTTTTTTTTTTATTTGCAGGAAGATGACGCATCAATTAATGCTAATGGGGATTTTAATTCTCCTTCCATTACGAAATATTATTTAAGGAACATTTGTTGGCAATATTTTTGGTTGAGTATTTTTTTATTATTTTGTATTGAACAAGTTATAATTTCAAATTTTTATTTTTATGTTTGTGTTGCAATTTTAGGAACTTAGAGTCTCATCATATATTGATTATGAGGTAAATGGTGAAGCCACAACAATTAAGGTATGATCTAGTTAACTTTAAGCTTCTTAAATTGTTTAATATTCTGGGTATTACTTTTATGTGTTATCCTGTTAGTTTTTTTCTGTGTTAATATTCTTATTAATCCATGTGATTTATTAATTTTAAAAATCTCAAGATAATTTTCTTATGCCATTCAATAAAGATGTGTATGATCATACAAATGCGTTTCGAGGCTAAAATGAGAAATAATATATCAATAACTTTGTAAGATCATGAGCCATCTCAAGTTTATTATTAGGAAGTTAGAAACAAAAGTTTATTTCATGTTGCATATGATTTTAGTATAATATTATAAAATATCGATACAATTTATAAAATAATAGTAAATCAAATCTTTGTTTATAAGTTATAAAAAGTTCAAGCAATTAAGTAAAATCCTGCTAAAAGATTGTTAAATTATTACGTTTAGATGCCACCATTTTTCTTAGGACTATATCAAGTTTGGATTGATTTACATTGTTTATATCGGTTAATACAATGTTTATTTTATAAATTTAAAAAATGAAGCAATTTTGAGTAATAAAATAAAAGTATAAAAATAATTTAGGTTTAAGCAATATAAAATATCAATTTATATTATATTAACAGAGGAATGATAGGGAAGGACATAAGTGAAAAACTGAAAAATAATCGTATGATAAGGTACTTAAAACTGCAAACACAAAATATATGCAACAAGAGAAAAAAAAAGTATACGAATAAAAAATTATAGTATATATATATATATATATATTTGAATTTTCTATGAGAAAGTCTTTGAATTATGATTCAACAAAACATATTTTACGGATAAGGTTATCTAACTGAAATCTTAATAGATGTTAAATGAAAACAAATATAATTTAATTCATGTGTACATAATATCAATAACTAAAACTAAAATTAAATATATCATATTGGAAACAAAATATAAGTAATTCCAAATTATTATTTATTATAAGTAAAATACTAAATAAAAAAATAACGAAAGTATTATAGTAAATAAAATGCATATAAGAGGATGACGAGGATTATGTGAGGAATTTATAATTTTGAATAATATGTAAAACAAATAAAGTAAGTAATTATATAATGTTAAAAGTTATAGTTAACAAATTTAGACAACGAACAAAGCTTATATATTAATTTTTTTATTAGTACTGACTAATATAACCATTCGAGGTGCTAAATATGTTAGCATTCTCTCATGTAAGTTTTACAATATTATTTTACAATATGGTAAATCTTAAAATTATTTAATAAACCTGTATATTTATGATTATATTTATCAATATGTATACTAGTATATAGAATGTGTGTGCGCTTAAAAGATGAGGAGTGGAGGAGTAGGCAACAAGATGTGGGGCTGATCGTGGGTATGTGTGCAACGTGTGTGAGTGAAGTGAGGGGTGGGGGATATTGAGATTGTTATCAGATATGAGTTTGTTTATTTTGTTATCTCTTTTTTTTTTCGTTAGTTTTTAGTATTGTTATTTATTTTATTTTATTTTTACTTTTTAATAACTCCTTTTTATTAAATAAAACGAAAATAATATATATATATATATATATATACCAACTTACTTTTAAATAAGAGAACCCAATATTTGTACTATAGTTTAAATTATACTAAGAAAAACACCATAGCTTACTTATTAAAATTCTAATTAAAAGAAATCATATATTTTTTGTAAATTTTTTATTTTCTCTTTACAAAATAAAATATGTACCATAATTATTTATATATATTTAATTTTTCTCAATTGAAACCTATAAAAAGTAAGATAAAAATTTAAAATATTAAGATTAGATCTAAAAGAAATATTTACACTAAAATAGTGTGAAATTCGGTGTGGTAAAAAATTAGATGTTCACAAGACCAGCTAGTTCGCCTTCACTTACTTGGGATCAATTTTCACATCTATTTCTAGAGAAGTTTATTTCTTTCACTTTTAAATTATGTCCCTCCAATTTTGTAGGTAGTTTGAGCACCTTCAACAGGGTGACATGACCGTTACCAGTATGAGATTCGATTTGTGGACCTAGCTCGCCATGCCATTGTCTTGCTCCCTACTGAGATGGAGAGAGTGACGAGATTCATTGATGGGCTCACTTTCAGCATCTGGTTATAGATGGCCAAGGAGACTAGAGATGCTATTTCTTTCTAGAGAGCTGTAAAGATTACTATATACATCAAGATGGTTCAGGGTTGGGAGAGGGAGCCGATGTAATAAAAGGCCTCGTCATTCTGGTAGTCTTAGTGGAGCCTCATCTAGAGGCAGTGGTACTTTTGGTAGAGGTCATCCTCCTAGGCCATATTAGTCAGCGCTTTAGGCATCACTGTTGCTACCCAATTTTTCCTATATTATTTTTTCAAAATGCATATATATCTTCAAAACTATGCATTAGCATCAAATGATATTTTTCATAATTTCTATATTTTTAAATTAACTTATCCCAGTATTTTATTGATGTAAACAATTACAAAATTGCATCACAAATGGATTTATAATATATTTTGATTTAATTTTACTATTTATAGTCATATTAAGTTTAAATTATTTCACAAATGGCCAGATTTACACTTTTTGGTTATAATTGCAATAACTTTGCAATTATAGCCCAAGCATACATTATTGCATTATTTTATCAGAAAATGGTCCATTGTATTTTTAAAATATAATTATTTCTATGCATGAAAATTATTTTTATAATATGTTATTTATTTTATAAATAAATTTTTACTCAATTATCTGGGTATTTAATAAATAACCCCTTTTGTTTTCAGACTTAACCCAAAAGACTAGCCCAAAACCCCTTTTAAAATTAGCCCAGTCCCTTTAGGTCCAAATACACACTTGCCTGACCCAATTACCCCCATTCAATCCTGATAGTTGATCATTCAGATCAACGGTCCATATTCCTCTTTCCTTAATTAAATCTAGACCTAACCACCACCCCCCCAAACACTCTCATTCACTCCTCTCACCCGCCGTCATCTTTCCACTCTTCTCTCAACTCTCTCGACCCAACCCTAGTTCTAAACGTTGTCACCGGCGTATATCTCATTCCTGTGATGTTTCCATGTCTTCTCCAGCCGGTCCTGGCCTTCTACGCACAATGGCTCTTTGACTTCTTAGATCCTTGAGACGATCTCAAGGAACCCTATCGGTCCTGGTTTGAAACCTTGCTTGTTAGTCTATCTCAAGCCATTTTCTCGACTATGAGTAAGAATTTCCTTTTGTTTTGTTACAAATCTATGGTCTCTTGACCTATTCTCGCAACTCTATTACTTTTCTGAAAACCCTAGTCTATTACCTTCGATCCTTCTCAGATTTGTATAGATCTGAGAAGAATCAAGCACTATTACCTGTTCTTCTTTGAGAATTTCTGACTTTAACTGATTATTCTGACTTTTCCCCAAAACTAGGGTTCATCCCAAGGTACTTTTCAAAGGTTTTTCTGACTCCTAAGTGTTTGATTAATTATTTTTCGTCTTCCTGACTGATTTGTGAAAAAAATACTTAAACCTTAGTTGATTTTGTGTGATACTCTGATTTTCTAACCTTTGCTTCGATTTTGAGTCTTTCTATGTTACCAATCATATTAATTTACTTTATATTTTAGACTTACATATTTTTTCTTTGTCAAATCCATTATTCTATGGTTTTTGCCCTAATTAATCTCTATTAGGGTTCGAATCTGTTATTCCGACTAATTTCTATATTTTTGTGAGGTTTTACTTAGCCTAATTTCTGTTTATGGAAGTTGAGTATTTATTTCAGGAAATCAGTGTTATTTTGAAAGTTTTGGCTGATTGATTTACTCTATTAGAGATCTGTATGCATAAATCTTGTGTGTTTCATTGTTTATGACCTTAATTGGTCATCCTTGCCTTTGATTGCCCGTATAATTGTGGATTCTTACTGATTCTTTTACATGGTATGATTGGGATTCTTTCCTAAATTAGACCCCTGTTATTACCGTTTGATCAATTATCCCTAATTAAGGGGTCTATTCTGAACTCCTTTATGTGATTGGTGTTGATACCCAATTTTTTCCTATGTATTTTTATATACAAACTACTTTCAAAATAACATATATATGCATACATAAGCATAACCAAGTGTTTTAGTATTTTTTCCAATCTTTTGAAGAATTTTTAAATCAATTTACTATCCATTTTAGCGGTACAAAATCCATAATTATTCCCAAAATCATCAATTTTGATGAATAATTTATTTTATTCCCATATTTATACCAAAATATAGTTAAGATAATTTTTGTATATTTTTACAAATTTATTTGGTATTTAAAAGACTAAATTGCATATAATTGCAATTATAACATATTTTTACGATTAATAGTATTTTATAATTGTAAAATTGGTCCCAATATTTTAAATTAATATTTATATATTATTAATTGGGTCAATATTTTTAATTTGCTTTTAAAATCATTTTTCACTATTTTTTATAAAATTAAAGGAAAGATTGGCTATTTAACATTTAGCCCCATTTCATTTCAATTTTAGCCCTTAAATTGAACCAATCCTAACCCCAACCGGACCGGCCCAGTTTCAGTTTTGATCCAACCCATGACCCAATTACAAACGACCCAACCCGTTCCCCACCTACCACTTAAATCTAGACCGTTGATCACTCAAGATCAACGACCAAGACTCGTCCTTTCCTAATTAAACCTAAATGACTACCCTAATCCCCTCATTCTCACTTGACCCGCCGCCTTTGAAACCTCTTGTCTCTCAAACTCTCCGAAATCCTAGCCTCCTTCTACCCCTCTTCAACACCACTCCACCGGAATCCATGGCTTCTCAGGCCATGGATGATTGGTACTCACTCCCCTCCACCACTCAACCTTGGATGTTCGATATTTTAAGGCTCGACTTCGATGGCTCTCTTCAAATCCTTCACAGATCTGTAGATCTATGGCTTCTCCGGCCACTACTCCGGCATATTCAAGCAATATGAGCCTTTTCGACTCAGGGTCTGACTTTCCTCAAGACTTTTCTCATTTCTAGGGTTTCTCTGAAACCCTAAGCTATTCGAGGTTCTTTCTCTATTTGTTTGCTTAGATCTATGTTTTATCTATGCTTTACTTGACATTTAAAGTGTTTTTCCCAAATTTTCTTTTCAAAATCGTTTGTCTTCGATTTAGGGTTTCTGAAAGGTTTTTCAAAAACATCTTTCTGATTCTTCTTCTTCTTTTCTTTATGTGTGTTTGTATATATCATGCTCGTGTGACTTCTTTTTACTACGCATGTATTGTCCTTCTACTTTTCTTTTATACATGTTACTCCTGTGCTCACATGATTATCCTTGTTATGTTTCTATTACTCTTCTACTATATGTGTTTACTATTAAGTTCTTCGATTTTGTTTGCTTTACTGGAATCTGTTCGTGTTCTTGCTAAATATGTTTCATCTACCGCTTCTTATGTTTGTATCACTTTTTCTTCTGAACTTGTTTAAGTTCAGAGTTTTTCTCAAAATGTGTTCTCCATGCTCTTGACTGTGTATCATGTCTGTTTGTTTCTCATAAGTCTTTGGAAAAGACTCCTGAGCCTCTATCGAGTGGCTTGCCTTCTCATCTCTATTGTTTGGCTCAATTCGAAACCCTAAGATTTGGGGATTTCTTGGCAATTTTCATCTTTTGTGTGCGAGTAAGGGTTCCATTGTGGGACCCTGGACTCTCAGACTCATTGTGAGTCTGCAAACAAGACTTATACCTCTTCTTGCTTATGATTCTAAACCTTTCTTTGATTAAACTCTCTTCTTAATAATTTGACATCCCCTCTGGTATTTACATATTTGTATGCTTTATATATAAGGACTCTGCTTTCAAAAGGTTTTTACCAACTAATTGATTGATTCTTAAATCCTCTAATGGGGGTTTGATTGATTGTTACTGATTTTCTTTGATTGAACCTCCTTTACCTTTTCCTGACTTGGTTCATTCGAATTGAACTTGTAATTTTGATTTCCCTGGCTATTTGATTGATTCCCTTTCCTTATTTTCCAAGCCGTGTACCATTGACTATTTTCCTTAAATAACTTCTATGTATTTACCCCTTTTGTGCTACTTTGAAAAGGTTTTAATCAAAACTTCTTTCCTTAATTGGTTTTTACCTGTTGAAATCAGAATACCTTAACTAAAGGGAGATTGAGTTCAATGTTATTTCCTTACCTTTTCACACTTGTTTTTTGCACTATAAAAGGGGCACGACCCTTCTGCACTTTGATCATCCTGAACTCCCAATTCAATACTTTTACACACACACTTCGAGATACTTTCAACTTAAACACTGACAATATCGCTTTGAGTTCAATACTCTCTCAACATTCTGCTTTTTTCTGAGATCTTTTGGAACCGTTTTCTTGCAACTTGACTTTTTCAAGGCTACTGTTTTTACTTGTTTTCCTTGAAACTGGTATGTTCTGATTTAATTTTCTGCCTCAGCCCTATGTGTTTACTTTATAGTTTCAGCATTCTTGTTTACCTTGTTGTCCATGTTTAGTGATTAAACTATGTATGTTCTTTCCTTGCATCTGTTTCTATTGTGAATCCCTCCCCCCTATTCCCCTCTATGTATCTGAGTTAATGGTTTTGGCCTGGCAGTATCTAAATTGTTGCCCAGGTCTGAACCTGACCTTCAATAGGTCCTAACTCCCAATTTAAGCTGACAGGCTGGTCAGGGGTGTGCCAGCATCCTAATTGTTGGGCATGACCACTAGTCTGCCATGACTCTCCCTAATTCCCCCTGTGCACTTACACTTACTCTTAGATTCTAAGTTCTGCCCTCTCTTATGAGCCTTGCTTTGGGACCTTGAGTTCCCTCTAAACTTGGACATCTGAGGGCTGGCATTTCCACACTGCACTATGCTCTTAATTCTGCAATGTGTTTGGGGTGTAAACATTGTCCGGAGCCCTTTGAGACTTTTGGGAACTTTTATACATCCCAAATATGAGAAAGGCTTTTGGAAATCTGATCCTGGAAGTTGGTTTATCTCATATTGTTGGACTTTGAGTCTGAATTAGGTTGTTTGGTTGTAGCTGGAACTTCTGATGTAATTTTACTTTTCTTTTCTGATTCATTCGGGTCTGTAATAATTTGTAATAACTATCGAGAATGGATAGTGGGAAGGGATGGGGATGAATGCATGAAAAGGGTAGAAAACCTGCCTATAGGTTATTTATGAATTTCTGCCTTCTCATTTTAGAACTTATGCCTATAAGTTTTACTGCACTTTTGTGTTTCTGCATCTTAGAAATTATGCCTATAAGTTCTACATTTCTTAACCTTAGAAATTATGCCTATAAGTTCTACATTTCTTAACCTTAGAAATTATGCCTATAAGT